ATATTGAAATGCAAACAGATGCTCGACCAAATGGCTGTTTTTTTTTCGAGTCTAATTTTTTCATCCAAATATGGAATGTGTTACCAAATTAAAAACTAACATCTGTTACTAGTCTAATTTCTAATCAATGAACAAAAGTATACTTTTGTACGACTAGGCCAGATTTCATCATGCTGATATATTTATTGCATTTAAGTTTAACAGCTAATAATATCAATCACTGAATGAAATTTTCGTCGTTTTCAAAGGAATCCATTCATAAGTGATAGTGAATCGCTTTTATACAGCACTGTTTGAATGATTAGGAGTTACGACTCTTACAATGGGAGAAATTTAATTTTTATGCTTTCAGCCATCACTTTTGCACTTATTCTTCATCTCTTTTAACTTTCTGTAGTCGTTTGCATTTAGCTGAAGAAATTTTCCGCATTCTAAACCAGGAAAATTCAAGGAAAACTGAAGTTCAAGAAACGAAATTAAATATTGATTTGATCTGATGCAGTCAGTTTTGAAGGATCACCAAAATTCCGCTAGCGCAAAAACGGAAACAAAAAACGAAGGAATGCAAAGTGACGTAGAATGACGATAGATAAATGTATCGTTCAAATGTTCAAATATTTATCTATTGTTTCTATTTTTTAATAATGTTTATCAAGCGACACGTAATGACTTTCGATTTCACAAATCATTCAGTCGTTCGTTTTCTCATTTCTCCTCAATTACTATTGATAGATTGAATACTTTCATTTCGCGTACACACAAATTAAAATCGCTCGGATAATTTTAATATATCCAAATAAGAGGAATAGTATATCGAAATGAGACGGATTGATACTGATGCTGACAACATTAAAGCACATCAAACATTCCGATATCTGCCACAAACAATCAGCTTCGAAGCATTCACACATGAACATTTACGCATGACATTTCAATAGTATGATCGCGATCTTCTTGTTTATGAACAATACGTGAGTGATGCACTCCAGCATTTTCGAGTTGCTCATTCCGTTTGATTAATCATCTTTCCTATGAATCTCTTTTAATTTGCTTTGTTGTTGAATTTGGAATGGCACTGAAGCGTTCAGTTCAAATGGTATCAATGAATCTACTGTTCATCACTACCGTATCAACATGCTATCAGCCGTGTCTTGATTTCACCGGATTGTTTTGCTCGCAAAAGAATTTTCGATCTAATGAATTGTTGCAGAAATATTTCTGAACTTATTCTACTAATAAATTGACTTAAAATGACATATGCCGAATTGAATTTTCATCTGTTCCACTTCGATTCAAAAATACGCATAGTTGAATTCAGTTCATTGATGGTGCTGTAAGTGATGCCTTAGTTACGATACTCAGTGAAAAATCTCATCTGCGTTGCTTAATTAACCGGTCATCCTGATTAAGAAACCCGTCGGCTTTTGTTGCTGTCCTTGTGATTCTGCCAATAAGCGAAGCCATATCCGTATCTGTTCCACAGCTCTTAATCTACCGTTTTTTCGAATCCTGCCTAGTTGCTATCGTAGATGTGGGAATGACAGGTTTCTAGCCACTCATCGATTGCATCGGAAAACTATGTCCAGCCATATTCATATTCGTCACTTCTTACGATATGCCTAAATGTGGCCGAAATAAAGAGTTCTTCGATTAAATATCTTTCATTTATCCGTTCAGGTTTTCTGGAATCATCAATTCCTTTTTTCGGTTGTGTGAAATCATCATTCGTCATTCGTTTCCTTTTGGAATTGGCACANATAAATTTGATTAAAGAAATTCAAAAGCTCTTGCCTGAAGATATGAATTTTATTTTAGTTTGAGTAAGATGACATGCGTGCTTCAGTTTGCTCTTATGAACACATCAGTGCAATAGCTATAAGTACTACTGTTAAGAGTGCCGGCTAAATTCGCAAATAATTGCCCACTTCCTAACGATTATTAGCATTAAAGTGATGAATTTTACGAGATCATGCAAAGCTAATTTAGAATTAGGATTTTTTTGATGAGATCTCCCTCATTTTATGAAGTATTTCTTCGTTGAGTTGCTCATAGCATCCCTATGCCAGTTAGCACTTTTCGTTCACCTTCACAACTATGATTATCACCATCATTGTCAAGCGATTGTGATTATGGCCATATCGCTGTCAGTTTCACTCATATGGACTTCAAAGAATGAATTCTCGCGCAAGGTACCCATTCTCCTCATTTCCTCCTCATTCCTCATGATTATTGCTTTAAATTAGGTTTCAACTGAGAATGCGAAATCATTTGCGATGCCATCCGAGGCCATACAAAATGATTCCGCTTTGCGTCACGAACTGACCTTTGTAGCAATTGAAATGTGGACTTTGTAAGTTCCACTTCAAATGTAGCATGTCACCAAACGAAGTTCTCTAGAATGGATACACGAAATGTAAAGGAATAGAGCAGAGTATGAATCACAGCGTTCACATCCTTCAACTGGCAATTTTCATCGTTGCAAATTTGAAGAGTTTATTGAAATTATTCATATAGAAACATGTTGTTGGTTTATGTTGGATAATTACCATCTGTATACAATTTGTACTGCTGCTTTAACTTGAATCATATTTCGAGTCGTACATTCGCACACCCTAATCCTACACTTTCGTTTCGTTGAATGTGAATGAATCTCAAAATTTTCTCAACAACGCCCTCTTGGCTATAGACATATGTCGCTGTGTTTAATTATTAAAGTTAAGGTTTATGATTTATGAGTGGTTCAGATTGCCGTCATTACACATTTGCTTCAACTCGCAGTGTTCGAGTGCTGCTTTATCTTTAACTGAAAAATCAATCCTACTGATCACGAACTTTTGGAAGACTCTGTTCAATCGTCCGTCCATCTGATTGAATTGATGAATCAGTGGTCGCTTTTCTTCCTCATGTCAAAAACGAGTCAGCTCCGAGATCAAATGTTTATCAAATGCGTGTGCTATGAATGCTGTTCGTAAACCGCTGTTTCGAGGCGACAGTTGCTTTTAGCTGAAAGTGTGTGTGCTAGTTGCGTATTGAGCTGGGATATCTGATATTCCGCGAATATGCAGACGGTTTGAAACGTATACATTAGTACTTTATACTAGAATAAGTATGATATGTTTCACACTTAATTGATGGCCTGATGATAATAGTGATAAGTCAGCAATAAAGCCAGCATCATTGGTTGATCACGCTGTCCATATAACTGGACAGCGTGATAATTGGTGAACGCTTGAGCTGTCGATGCATATGACTGGAAATCATTAAATGGCATTTCACTGCTATAAGCCTAAGTAATTAGTGAGGAGGAAATTTTGTATTTTAGCACAAACAATAGGGAATCTTCATGATAATTCTTCGAGCTCAGTTGTCATAGAGATGAGGTAGGAGTATTGAAGAGTTAAAAAATATGGATAATATGGGCTTGATAGCCACTGCAGTTTTCGTGACAGCAGTGATATGCTGCTTACGTATTGTGATTAAGTATCATTCAAGCACATCGCTGTCTTTAGTTGACAATAATCATCAATTGATATTCATGCTGAATGCCGTTTGTTACTGTTATTCGAATCCTTCCTGGTTATATACATTTATAGGCAGAGTTTCAGATGTGTAAACGAGCATTTTAATGCATTGTTGGATTCATCCTCAGAATTTTGCATTTGTTCTTTCACAGAATTCAACTCATAGCAAATTCATTGCAGTTCGTTTTAAAGTATTCCTCAGTGGTGTTATTCCACCCGTCGAAAGCACTTCTCAAACCATCTATTTTATCAGATATGCGTTTTATAGTCGACTTCAACACCGAAATCCCATTTCCACATTGCAGATGTCGAAAATGCCATTCAGCTTGGGAACGGGTTGCGAATTTTTGGTTTCTTGCTGAATGAAATTTGAGTATGTAAACGGCTCATCTTAAAGTCACGGGTGAGCTTAAAGTCCTAATACCGTCTGGAACTAAATCCAATCGTAATTTGTTCAAAAGTTCAGACATAATGTCGTCGTCTTATTCAGTGCCGTAATTATTGCTGT